AGAGGTAAGGTTTGGTCAACGGCGTCAGTTTTTCTCAGATTATAAATGAAGAAAGGTATTGAGATTTGGCTAAAAGGTAGTTAAAAATAGCAACTCAGTGATTTTCTGATATACTCCAGCTAAATGATTTTTTTTTGTGCACTTACCTCCACCAAAGTACATCTATATATCGGGAAGCACAGTTAAGTATATGATAGAAGGCTCCCAATTTTAATCATGAAAATACCTCTAAGATAAATAGAAATTTACAGTTTTCTAAGACTAAACACACACACATTTATATTATATATACATATATGTATTTCTACATGTAAATCTCATTTAATTCTTTTAATAGTCTATACTTTTAATTAAGTTTACCTTTTTTTTTTAATCAGCAACAATTCACTCTCCTTTACCCACTCTCTATTCCAATGTGAAAAAAAGAAAAACAAAACCCCTGTTACAAACATGTATGGTCAATCTCATTTATTTCTCATATCGGGTATGTATTTTTACCCCCATTTTACAAATGAGAAAATGGAGTTTCACAGAGGAGTAAATGACTTGGACTATAGTGACATAGATAGTAAGAGGAAGAGCTCAAACTTGAATTTACAGACCAAGCTTTGCATAGTCATATTGTCTTTCAAAGGTTGATCTGGAATATTCTAAGGTTCAATGTGGCCTTGATAGATCAGTCACTGGAGAAGTATCAAAGTTATTTTAAAAAATAATTTCAAACAAAAGGAACTTCATTAACATCCTAAGATCACTACATTTGATCTTTAAAGGGAAAAAAAATAAGACTCTATCTCTTCCTACATGTAGATACTCCTAATAGTAGAACTCTGTAAATATTAAGGTGACAATAGACTCCAACTTAAAAAAGAAACCCTGCTGGATCCATGTGAACTTCAGGGCTTATTCACATAGCTACTATGAACCAGTAAGACTCATGAGTGCCAGAGGAAGCATAGGTGAATGAATTTTTTTTTACCTAGCTCATTTACCCACGGTATAATCTGAGCAATCTCCCAATCTTTATGTGTGAAATGAACATAATAAGACTGCTTTTTTTTGGCAAGGCAATTGGGGTTAAGTGACTTACCTAGGGTCACACAGCTGGTAAGTGTCAAGTATCTGAGGCTGGCTTTGAACTCAGGTCCTCATGACTCCAGGGCCAGTGCTCTATCCACTGCACCACCTAGCTGCCTCTAATACTGCCTTTCTGATCTAGGATTATTGAGTTGGAAGGGACTTTGGTCTCATTTAATTCAATATCTTATTTGAAATATCAACCTTCTCTAAAATATTTCTAACCAGTGATCATCCCTCCTCTGCTTAAACACCTTCAATGATAGGGAACTCTTTACCTCCTAAGCAACCCATTCTTATTTTTGGATGGCTCTAAATGTTAGGAACTTCTTATACTATTATGAAATTTGCCTCTCTAGAACTTTTATCCACTAATGTTAGTTCTTTCTCTGGAACCAAGCAGAATAAGTCAAATGCCTCTACTTTATTAAAATCGACCAAATATTTTCAGACAATCATAACATTTCCCCCCAAATCTTGTCTTGTCCTTGTTAAATATCCCCAGCTTCCTCAACCAATCTATCCCATGCAGTTTGGTATTGAGTCTTCTCTTCACTTATCTTCTGGTTGTGTTCAAGCTGGTCAACATCCTTCCTAAAATTCACCCCCACCATTGAACAAAATGATCTACTTCTATTCTAACTAGGATTGAGTAGAGTGGGACTATCACCATTCTAACGCTTTAATGAAAACAGGATCATAAGTTTTGAGGCTAGAAGATACTTTAGAGATTACATAGTTAACCCTTGTCATTCTATAGAAACTAATGATAAATATGTTAAATATATAAATGCAAAACATGTCATTTGAAGAAATTATGACCAAAAAGGTCAAGTGCAGTGAGTAGACTAGCAGGGATTCATACCTAGGTCCTCTGACTACCAATCCGGTCTTCTTTCCTGTATAAGGCAGCCTCAGAGTACATTCATAGCAAGTCACATCAAGTAAATCAACATTTATTAAATGTCTCCTATGGGCCAGCCACTATGCTAAACAGTGCAGATACAAAGAAAGACACAAACAGTTCCTGCTCTCAAGGAATTTACAATCTAATGGGCGAGACAACACACAAACTGGATAAATAAGACATATATCAGATAAATTGGAGATAATCTCAGAGGGAAGGATCTAGCATTAAGGGGAACCAAGTGATGATGTTGACTCATATTACACTCTACCAAAATTCCCATGCCTAATTTATATGGAGAGCCATCTTCTTTAGTTTGAACATATGTATTTCATTTTTTGTTTGCCCAAATGTAGTTTTTTAGGGTTTTGGGGACATCTAGGTGGTTCAGTGGATAGAGCACTGGGCTTGGAGTCAGGAAGACTTGAGTTCAAAACTGACACTTATTAGCTATGTGACCTATGCTATGAGGCAAGTCACTTAACCTTTGTTTGCCTCAGTTACCTTATCTGTAAAATGGGAATAATAATAGCACTTACCTCCTAGGGTTGTTGTGAGGATTGAATGATATGATAATTGTAAAGTGCTTAGCGCAGTGCCCAGCACACAGTAAGTGTTATTATTATTATTATTTGTATGATATTTCCACTGAGGTCTTATTCTGATGTTTTTTCATGACATGAAGTTAATTAATCCTAGATTCTCAAAGGCTTGGCCAATTCAGTCCAAGCTATGGTGGTTGTTGTTTGGTTGTTTCAGTCATGTCCAATTCTTTGTGATCTTACTTGGGGGTTTTCTTGGCAAAGATTCTGGAGTGGTTTGCCATTTCCTTCTCCAGCTCATTTTACAGACGAGGAACTGAGGCAAACAGGGTTAAGTGACCAGGGTCACATACCAATGTTGGAATCCAGATTTGAACTCACAAAGATGAGTCTTCGTGAGTCTAGGCCCAGCACTCTATCCACTGCACCACCTAGCTGCCCAAGCTATGGTAGGTTCTATTAAGCTGGAATGACTTGGACAACAGCCCAATAAGGAACTTTTGTTTCTACTATCTGAGGTCTAGCCTAACTAAATCTGGAGAGTAACACAACAGCAGGTTGGCCAACAAGTAACAGATACTTTTTGGCCATAGCAACTTGATAAGACTATTTGATATGGCATGGAGGCAACTGTGATCGATGTCGAGGGAAGGATTACCCATTCCAACAAAATCAGTCTTTAACCATAGCACCCGGAATATGCCCCAACTCATCTCATTCCAGAAACTAAGCAAAGTCAGACACAGTACTTGGAAGGAATACCAGATATCATAAGATTTTCCAGGGGAGGCCATGTAGGTCAGTGGAAAGCGCACTGGCTTTTTGGTCAGGAACAGGATTCAAATCCCACCTTGGATAGCTTTACTACTTTCACTTAACCTCCATAGGTTTTAGTTTCCTTATCGGTAAAATGAGGGGATTAGACTAGATGTTCTCAGAGTCTCTTTACAGCTCTAAATGTATGATATGTATGATATGTTTATGTATATCTGCGTATGTATGTATGCCTGTATGTATGTGTGCATGTACACATACATATATACAGATATATGTGTATATACCTGTGTATCTGTATATGTATGTATGTATGTATGTATATATATATATATATATATACAGAGAGAGAGAGAGAGAGAGAGAGAGAGAGAGAGAGAAAGAGTGAGTCTTCTTTTCATTTATCCCCTGGTTGTATTCGAGTTTGTCAATGTCACTAATAAAATGTGACACCCACCACTGAACAAAACTATCTACTTCTGGTCTAACTAGATTTGAGTACGGTGAGACTATCACCTCTATAATGCTTTAATTAAAATAGTATTTTTTTCCCTTGAGTGCCAAAGTTACATGGAAACTACATTGGAAATTATAAAATTCTTTATAAGCTTTTACTGCAGTATCTCTTGCTATTACTTCCATAATCAAATATGAAATGCTCTCTATTACACTTAAATTCCTTTGCAACCTGGCCCCTCCTTTCTACCTTTCCAATCTTCTCACACTTCACTTCACTCTAGTTATGCTATAATCCAGCTACATTGTCCTACTTGCTCATCCTCACACAGGATGCTACCTCTCAACTCCATGCTTTGGCAGTGGCTGTCCCCCAGGCCTGAAATGTTCTCACTTTTCACCTCTACCTCCTGGCTTCCCTGGATTCTTTCAAGACTCAGCTCAAGCGCTTCCTTCTTCAGCAGGCCTTTCTTGGTCTCTCAGTGTCCTGCCCCCCACTCTCCCTCTTTCCCCTTCCTTTTGAGGGGGAAACTCTATATCTATATCTTGTGTATGTACATAGTTACTTGTATATAGTCTTCCCTATTAGAATGTAAGCTTCTTAAGGGCAAAGACTGTGTTTTTGCCTTTCTTTGTATCCCTAGTGTGTAGCATGGTGTCTGGCACATAGTAAGTGCTTCATAAATGCAGACAGACTAACTTACAGGCTTCCTAGAAGATCCAGATTAATTTAAACTGAGGGTTTTAGCCTGGTGACCATGACCTTGTTTTTTTTTTTAAATATTCCAGTAACTATATTTCAATTTACTTGGTTTCCTTTGTAATCCTATGTATTTTATTTTATGCATTTAAAAATATCATTCTGAGAAGGGGTCCTGCCAGACTGTCACAAGGGTCGATGACACAAAAAAGATTAAGAACCCCTACTTTAAATGATCAATCATCAATAACAACTTCAGGTATCTTTTAACTAAAGTCAAAGGCAGGTGGACTGATGCCTATAAAGCAATGGGCTGAGGAAATGCCCTTAAAGTAAGACCAATCATTCAGATTTTTCAGGGATGGATGGCCAGTCAATGTGGCTTCCTCTCTTGGCCTCTAAGAAGTTACAAACAGGGCCCATAACTCCACAGGCTTCCTGTGAAATGACTGGCTGACTTCTGAGCTAGTTCATCAAAAGCTATGGTTAATTCTAAGTGCCCCTCTATTATTCACTTTAAAATGGGAACTCAGACTTTTCTTACCTGCTGGAGGCCAGGCCTTGATGTATCCTGTGCAATGGACTACTGCATATTGTGCCTCTCCTTCCTTAACTGGGCCTAGACCATTCCTAAAGAAAAGGCATTTGTGAAACCATTTGCATCAGGACCATCCTGCCCCCACCCCAACTCTCATGCCCTGTCCTGTGATGGTCTTAATAGAGTAAGGACTGAGAGGCCACCCCAGACCAAAAGAACTCACGATAATACATATCACAAATAAGAAACAAACTGACCTGTATCTTTTCCGCATGGTGGTTATTCTGTTAAGAGGAAGGTGATCCAAAGGGGCATTTCCACACCTAAGAGTAAATCAATTCACCAGTAGTTAACACCTATACAATGCCATAAAACATTATGCACAAACTTGGTACAAGTTATCAGCTGTCTAGGGCTCTCTGGTACGTACAGATAAAACAAAAATGCCAGTTTAGCTAATAACTTCAGCACAATGCCACCAAACATTTACACTACAGTTTTCAATTAATTCATTTTCACTTTTTTTCCTTGGTAGCTAAGCAACAGGCTGGCAAAGATGATGCTAACTTTGATTTCCTTCCACTGGACTCCATAGGGGTTTATGTTTGCTCTGTGATACCATTTTTTGATGCTTATGTGAAAGGAAGCAAGGCTAGTTACTTTAAAAGGATGACCAGTTGGGATGTGAAGGTTCTGGAACCCTTCTGATGGATCAGAGACACAATAAGTTGGAGCTAGGGGTTTAACAAGGCTGAAGAAATTTGTCATGTGTTGCCAGTTAACCAACCATTGGGTCAGATATAGGGAATCAGCAAGGGCAAGAAGAAGCAGGCAAGACTCAAAGTGGATGAGAGCCACAGAACAAAGGTCCATGTCAGAGATAGCAGTCCTAGACTGCTATCTGGACATCAAGGTGCTCTGGGATCTCAGAGAAAAAAGGCTATTTTCTATCTTTTTTTACATTATGTGTAGACAAGTCATGGCTGGCAGGTTCACATCCAATAGGTGTGGCTTGATTCTGGTTAAAGCAGGAGCAGAAATACTGGACCTCCTAGAGGCTGAGAGGCAGTTTGACATGGTGGTTAGAGGTCTGGTTTTGGATTCAGGAAGACCTGAGTTTGAATATCATCTCCAACCGTGGGCAAATCACTTAACCCCTCTCAGCCTTTGTTTCCCCAACTGCCCAAAGGTGAAAATGATAGCACCTATCTCACAGAATTGTGTGAAAATCAAATGAGATAATATATGTAGCACCATGTAAATGGCAGCTATTATTATTATAAAATAAAGTTTCAAATAGATGAAACCTGTGACAAATTATTTCAGCAGCAGAATCTAATAGAAGGAAGTCACAAAAATGATTCCAAAACCTAATCTTTAGTAGTTATGAAAGCTATAAGGGTTTTGAGGCCAAACTATGCTAAAGCACTAGAGCTGAATGGGAAAGGGAATAATCATTTATATAGCACCTACTATGTGCAAGGCACTGTACTAAACACGTTTATAAATATTATTTAATCTGATCCTCACAACAACCCTGGGAAGTCAGTGATAGTATTTTTTTTTACAGTTGAAGAAACTGAGGCAAACAAAGGTTAAGTGACTTATCCAGCGTCACATAGCTAGTAAGTGTCTGAGGCCAGATTTGAACTCTGTCTTCCTGACTCCAGGCCCAGTGCTCTATCTACTATGGCACCAGCTGCCTCTAAATCTGAAATTCAGCTGAAATACCAAACTTAAAATTCAACACTTGTATATTAGCCCTCAAGGATATTTGACTCCAAGATAGAATTCAGGGTATATGAAAAATAAATCTCCTATTTAAAATTTAGGGGGAAACTCAGGATTGAACTGGACTAATATTTATAGCAGTTAAAGATTAGTGAAAAAGGTACCAAATCTGTGACTATTTTAAAACATTTCTCTATAAGAGTTAAATGCTTTCATATAGTAGATTTTTAATAAATGTTAACTTAAACAGAATTAAATTCAGTTATTTAAATAAAGAGATATTTGGAAGACAAGGATCCTCTGGAAAATCCATAGCTCTCATCTCAATCTCATCAACAAGAAAATGAATCCATTTAATTACTGGAGTAATTTCTATCTCGGATAAAAGCAACAACTGCCCAAACAACTTGCCTTACAGTTCAGATTATCTGAATGCACTTCCACCACCCTTGATGGTACTGAACCCTCACTGAAGGGGACAGCAATCTTAATTGGGAAAAGATAAACCCTCACTTGCTGGATAAGGTAAAAGATTAAATAAAACTTTTTCCCTCAGAAAACAGGAGACCAAAGCATTGTTAGAGACCAGAAGATGATAGGGAGCAGGGAACAGTAAGGGAAGGGTGGTTCAGAATACAAAGCTGAGCTTCATAAGGAAGCAGGGATACCTCCTTTGGGCCTAAAGGAGGAATGCCACTTGGTTTAGGACAAGTATTATGTTAGGCAAGGCAAGGAAGAGGTTTTATGAGGAAACTTCTACTGGATGGTGTCAGTTTTCTCTGTAAAGTAAGAAGCAAGATCATTCGTTGAAAATGGAAATGAGTGTGGAGAAACAAATATGGGTTTACAGAGAGATGGTCTGAAATAACCACAGCAGAGAGTGTGGTAGGGAGTCTAAGAAGGAGGAATTCAAGGATAACTGAGCAGCAGTGAGGATTAGGCTGGTTAGCCAGTGGAAAGATGAAATGGACTTGGTCTGCAAGGTTCTGAATTTCTTCCATCAGAATCCTGTGGCCCAGGCATAGGAGGAGAAAGCAAGAGAACTGAGGATGGGTATGGGAGTTTTGCTTGAAATTTAGGCAAAAGTACAAAATGCCATAAAGGGCAGTAGCAATTATGTTAGTTGACCATGAAGCCTACAGGATGGAAGGATGATAGGATCAGAGACTGAGAGCTTCGGGAATGAGCCTTAGAGGTCATCAAATCCAACCTCCCCTCAATTTACAGAGAAGGAAGCTGAGGCCCAGAGTAGCTAAGTGACTTATCCAGGGTTACATAGGTAGTTAAAGGATCTGAAGCAAGATTTGAACCTGTCTTCCTGACTGCAAGTCTGGCTCTTTGCTGAATGCCTTCTGAACACTAGCACTTCTTCACTACCTCCCATAAGCATCTTCTTTGCCACCAACTAAGTTCACACATTTGGGTAAATTAGGAAAGGCTGAGTAATTGCTATCTCCACAAGGTAAGAGAGTGGTCTTTATGGGTGTAGCAAACTACCAGGTAATACCTGTATGCCTGGATTGGGAACACTTTTCATCCAAGCAGAAGGAAGTAGGATTATCAAATTACTCATCAACACACCTATTAGCACACAGGCTTCAAATTCAGAGGCTTTTAGGTGGTGTAGTAGCTAGAGCACTTGACTTGGGATCAGGAATACCTGCACTCAGATCCTGACTCAGGCACTTAAGAGCTATGTGACCCTGGGCAAATCATTTCATGTCTCCTACTCTGAGGCTCCTCACCTGAAGAACGGGGATAAAAACAGAACCTACCTCACAGGGCTGTTATGAGAATAAAATATTATAGGTCATGTGTTCTCCGTACTGTACAGTGGTAAATAATTAATATTTATTACTATTATTATTCTCATTCTATCTGCTTCTGCAATTTTCAGTCTCTGCAGAAAAAACTTGGATTTCTCCAGATTTGCACATTTTCTTTATTGTTCAGTTGTTTTTCAGTCACGTCTGATTCTTCATGACTTCATTTGGGGTTTTCTTGACAAAGACACTGCAGTGTTTGCCATTTCCTTCTCCAGCTCATTTTACAGATGAGGAAACGGAGGCAAACAGGGTTAACTGACTTGCCCAGGGCCACACAGCTAGCAAGTGTCTGAGGCCAGATTTGAACTCAGGAAGATAAGTCTTCCTGACTCCAGGCCCAGTGCTCTATCCATTGTGTCACCTTAGTTCTTTTGTTTTCCTCTGATCATGAGTCAAATTTTTATCCCTTATCCTACTAATGTTTTCACTTCAGTAGATGCCTTTAAGATCGGTGGATACTTCATGAATACAAATAGAAAATACAGAAAATACTGAGTGAGAGACAGGGAGAAAAAAGTAGAGACGAAAGCAGTTAAAAGTCCTGCAGGAGTCTGTACTCAATCTGCTGCATGTGCTGTATTAACTATTTGATAGGAAAAAATACACACATATCCTCTTTCCACAACTCTGCCAGGGGGAATGCCTCCTCCTCTGTGGCAGGTCCACCTATCTTCTCCTTGTAGTTTTTCCTGATTCTCCCAGTCAAAAGTGATTCTTTCTCTCTGTGGAATCTCTTAGACTTTTGACTATACAGCCTATGCCCCTTCATACTTGGGTTTGCATGACTATTTGTGTGCCTTGGTCAGTCCTGCAAGATGGTAAGCTCCTTAAGGATGGAGACCACGTGTTCGACATCATGGGAATCAATCATGTCTTTGACATCTATCTCTCTATCATTTCCTTCAGCACTGCTCCTTGCAAGTGGTAGAAACTCAAGAGATAGTGAATTGAACAGACTGAATGAATTAGTGGCTTGTGCTCAAAGCCGAGTATTTCATTGATAAGCTCTAAAAAAGTCCTGTCTTCTATGAGAATGAGTTAATATTCTTGTTCAAAATTCACTAAGGCAATAAAATAATCAAAGTAATGAAAATTCACATTATCTTAAATAGCTCTTATTATTTAGCATGTAGAATATGGTTTCAATTGCTTATTTATAGTTTGAAGTAGAAAACTGAAGCAGAAATGGCTATCTCTCATGTCTGCTACCAGGCATGGCATTTTAGGTACCAATGGGCAAACGGGCAGGCCTAGATTAACCTATATTGTTTGGGAATAACTGGTCCAGTGTACTTACTACTTGTGTTATTTGGGGATAGGAGAATTATGGTAATGAAAACAGGTACAGAAAAAAAATGAATAAGGCCTCATATAGCATCATATAATGTTAGAGCTAGAAGCTGTCTTGTCCAACCCCTTAATTTCACTAAGGAATAAAACTGAAGCTGACAGAGGCAAGATAATTTGTCTAAAATCACACAGCTAATAAATAGGAGAGGTAGGAATTTTATCTAGGCCTCTTAATGATTTCCATAGCTCCTGTCTAAAAGAGATGGTATTTTTCCCCCTTCTGGTTATATTTCTATATGAACTATTCACCCCACCTATTCCTAAGTTCATTGATTAACTTAATCATTCAATACATATTTATTGAATACCTTCTAGGTGCTAAGCAATGTGTTAGGCATTGAGAGGAATACAAAGATGAATAAAGCAGCTAGGTGGCACAGTGGATAGAGTACTAGATCTGGAGTTTGGAAGACCAGAGTTTCAAGACCACAGCCTTGGACCCTGACTAACTGTATGACCTTGGGCAAGTCACTTAACCTCTGTTTGCTTCAGTTCCCTCACATGTAAAGTAGAGAACATAGTAAAAGCACCTACCTCCCAGGGTTGTTATAAGGTTCAAATGAGATATTTGTAAAGCACTTAGCACAGTGTCTGGCACATAGCAAGTGCTAAATACACGCTTACATTCCTTCCCCCAAACCCACCCCATTTGTTTTCAAGGATCTTATACTTTAGTAGTAGAGACAAGAAATAAACAAGAATAGTCAAAGAACAATATTTGTGACAAGAGATCAAGTCATTGGATAATTAAATGCCAAATGAGTTTTATGATTTCAGAGGGAAGAGTTTCACTCTTTGAACACACTGAAGTAGTCAAGAAAGTCCTATGTTGTTATGCCTTGAAGGATAAATATGTCTTGGGTGGACAAAAAAAAGAAGGGAAACAGAATTCTAGGTGGAGACAGAACATAAGCAAGATGGTACATAGACACATAGGTAGACAGGTCTTGGGAGACAGTAAATAAATCATTCTGGCTGAAGGGGATGGTTTATGTAGACATTAGCAAAATAAAAGATTGGAAAGAGAAGTTGGGGTCAGATTATGGAAGACCCTGAATCCCAAGGGAATGCTATAGATAATGTTTCTCTAGATTTCAGTAAAATGTTTGGCTTTTATTCTTTTGGGGAAGATGAAAAGATGTGGGCTAGCCATTGGTACAGTTAAGTGGAATTGAAAACTGGTTGAATGAGCAGTTTCAGTCATTAATGGCTCCATGTCAACCTGGAGGGAAGTTCAGGTTGGCTCTGAAGAGTGAAACTAGGAGTAACTAGTGGAAGTTGTAAGAAGGCAGGTTTAGGTTTAATGTAAGGATAAAATCCTGACAATTAGAACTGTTCAAAAGTGAAATGGCCTGGAGTAATGAATTTCTTATCACTAGGGATCTTAAAGTCAATGGTTATTTGTTAGGGATGTTGTGGAGACTATTCGTAGTCAACTTGGGTTGAATTGATCACTCTGGTCTTTCCCAATGCTGAGATTCCACTTTTGTACATTAGCATTTATCTAATGACCTCAGGAAGCACTTTCTAGGTGCAAAGCACCATGCTGCTCTGGGGGAAACAGAGGTATCATAGGGTATGGAACGATTTAGAATAAGAAAACAAGATTTAGTTCGAAATCTACCACTTGCTCTGAGTGGCTTTAAGTAAATCATTTACTTTCTCTGAGCCTCAGTTTCCTTAGAAATAAAATGAGGATAACAATAGTGAGGAAAGCACTATATAAACATAAACTATTATTGTCGTGAAAGTAATGGGGAGCCACTGAGTATTCAACCCTTCCCACAAGTGACATTCACGGCAAACAGTAGCTTGAGACAAGCTCACTACAGTCATATTATTACAAACCTCATCCTGCAAATGAAAGAGCGTCTGGATCCCATGCACATTCTCATAGATGACTGCTGACCTTCCTTCTTGACTGTCCCTGTCTTCAGATCCAAAATCCGACCTTAAAAAGAAAGAAAACAAAATAGGCATAAAACTTTTGACAAGAGCCGAGAACAACTTTCTTCCCTTGTCCTGAGTACCAAGAAAAAGGGACTATATACATTACTCATTTCTTAGTACAATCAAGTCTCCAACACTTTAGCAAGGAGAATATGGGTCAATGAGCTCTATCATAATACAAATAGCTCACTGCAATAAATAGTTCTTATTCTTCTCTTTCCTTCCTGGAAAAGGAAAAAAAGCCTTTCCCAGAGTTGTTAATATAGAATAAAAGAGATTAAGCTGGCTGACTTTCATGGCATATACAGTTCCTCACAAATTTCTAGTAGTAGGCACCTAACATTAGAAAATAATTTCAGTTCTTTATTCAAAAATGTAACAAAATGACAAACACTTCTATCTTCTTGGCAACAGCATTCATTTTCTTCTGGGATGATGATGATAGATGATGATAGCATTTATATAGCACTTGAAAATTTGCAAAGTATAAACCTTTCTCATTTGATTTCCTCATTGCCCAAGAATCAAATCAATACTACAACTGCTGCCAGAAAAGGCATGCCAATCAACTGACCTATGGATCAACTCACTGTCCTTCTACCCTCCAAGACCAAAATTCCCTTCCCTGGCCATTATGTATTGACCCCTTCTATTATGTATTGACCCCCTCTATTAGAATATATGCTTTGTGAGGGCAGGGACTATTACACTTTTGTATCTGTATCATCAGTGCTTAGCACAGTGCCTGACACATAATAAAAGTTTAATAAATGTCTTTTCATTCACTTGTTCATTCATTCATTCACTTTAAGATTGAAAAATGTTATGGTTTCCTTACAACATTTCTATGAGGGACATAGCTTAAGTATTACTATCCCGGTTTTGTGTATAAGGAAACTGAGGCTGAGAGGAGTAAAGTGATTTATACAAGGTCACAAAGTCATTCAAATCCAATGTTCTTTCACCTATACCAATACACATACAAATACACCATATCAGTGAGCACAAAGTAAGTAATCAATAGATATTTGTTGACTGATAAATATATTGACAAAGTCCCACTATTCTGAGAATTTTTCCTTTATTTTTTTCTCCCTGCAATATAGAAATTCAAGATATGATATACACACTACATGGGAGGTAAGTTGTTTATGAGAACATGTTTGTTTTTTAAAAAATAAATTCATTAATACAGATTGTGGTCATGAATACATTAGTAGAAAATAAATTTAAAAAAACCTTTTATCCAGTAAACTGTAAACATTTTAAGTTTTATGACTAAAAAAAATAAACTCCCCCTATAATAATTGATGGCTATTAAAATGATCTTTGCTCTCTCTTGCTCTCTTGCTCTCTCCCTCTCTCTCTTCCCCCCCCCCCCCCCCCCCACATACATACACACACATTCCTCTGGTAGGATCAAGGCCCTAAACTAATGCATGCCCTGTTACAGGCCTCACCTTTAAGAAGTAAATCTCATAGCAAAGATACTAAGATGGCGGGGAGGGGTGAAGAGAATAAATATTTATATAGAGCCTACTATGTGCCAGGCACTGTGCTACATGCTTTTTATACATATTACCTCATTTGATCTTCACAACAACCCTGCAAGATAGGTACTATTATTATCCCCATTCTAGTTTTAATGTCTTATCACCTCCCCTGAAAGACCTAAATCATCCATTAAAAGACACATCATAAGGAACCCACTCTAAGCCCAACACCTAGGGAGAAGTCCTGGCTATGGAGACCCCAGTTGTGGGGTAATGGAAACTGACTAGCTTTGGATTCAGAAGGTAGAGTAAGGGTCACATCTTACTTAGGACACCTGCTAGCCCTGGGACCATGGGCAAGCCATTTTTGTTTCTTTGAATTTCAGTTCCCTCAAAAATAATGATACCTGCAGTAGTTACTTCACACAGTTGTTGCAGGAATGAAATAAGGTTGTATGTGTAAAGTGCTTGCCTAAACCTTAAAGTATGGGCTGCAAACCTCTTTTTTTGTGCCAGGGACCTCCTTTGGAAGTCTGGTGAAACCTATGAATCCCTTTCAGAATTATGTTTTTGAATACATTAAAAAATACATAGGTTTACCAAGGAAACCAATTATATTACAATACAGTTATCAAAACACATTTTTAAAAAAAAATTCACAGACTCCAAGGTTAAGGAACCCTGTCATAAAGGGTACAAATGGCAATTATTATTATTTTAGTCACCCCCTGACCCATGTTCTATTCTAAGCCCTGACCTGTTCTCCCTCTGGCCTCAACACACTTGGTTCACCTAACCAAGTATCTGCTCAGCTCTGCTCTGATTGACCAGGCTCTGCAACACACTCCTGCTCTATGCTCATTCCACATTCCAGTAGTAGATCTGTCTTGAACTCCAGAATTCATCCTGCTAAACCTTCATCAAACCCAACCCTACCTCAGACAGGCAGATGGTTATCTTGACAAAGACAGCTATTTAGAATTCTTTTTTTTTATTTTTTTAATTCCTGCATGCCTCACTCTACCATCTTGTGAAGAAAATTGTAATCAACAGACATGTTCTAACACCTACAGTACTTGTGAACATCTTGTTTTAGCTGTCACCAATGTGTATAACAGGGGCACCCCAAAGGCAAGTGTTGTGTCAGGGCAAGACATAACTGTTTGTCTTTTTTACCTTTTATAGAAGCTATAATGTTTATATCACAGACTTAAGACCTCAATTAGGAAAGAAATAGGTCATTCTCTATTTCATTCTGGCAGGTACCCCCTTTACTAAGAGAAACCAAAACCCCTCTATGCCTTCAGGCCCTGGTTAATGAGATGCTCTGATCAAGAAAGAAAAATCTTCATTTACTGGGCAACTGTTCTGATGATGAACCTCTCCAAACTTTGCTATGCTGGGCACTGGATGACAGACATACAGTCTATCACCCAGGATATTCTCAAACGCTTTGTCTTTAGTAGAACTTGCCAGGGCTTGTGCTCCATTGCTATAGGATGATAGATTTTGAGTCTAAACAGATTCATTTTCCTAAATTATTTTTTTTAATGAATAAGAAAATATACTTTCTTTCCCTCCCACCTTCCTGCCCCCACTGGAAAAAGAAAAAGAAAAAGAAATACCCTTGTAGAAATATGCATGGTCAAAAAAAAAAAAAAAGATTTCCCACATTGGCCATGTTCAAAATAATTTATGTGACAATCCACACTAAGGCCTTCCCATACTCAACAGGAAATGGGCTAGCATGCTTCATTATGAATCCTCTGCAATCATGGTTAGTCACTGCATTCATAGAGTACTGGGCCTGGAATTGGGTAGACCTGCATTCAAATTCAGCCTCAGACACTTACTAGCTGTGTGACCAAGGGCAAGTTATTTAACCTCTGTCTGCCTCAGTTTCCTTGTAACACCTACATCCCAAGGTTGCTGTGAAGATCAAATGAAACAATATTTGTAAAAGTGCTTAGCCAATGCGTGGCACATAGTAGGTGCTTAATAAGTGCTTGTTTACTTATTTCCTTTCTTCTTTCCTTCCTTCCTTCCTTCCTTCCTTCCTTCCTTCCTTCTATAAATTGTTCTCCTGGTTCTGTCTACTTCACTTTGCCTCAGTTGATACAAGTCTTCCTAGGTTCATTTGAAACTGTCCCCTTCATAATTTCTTTTTTTTTATTATTATTGAAACAAATACATAATAAGAAAACAAAAAGAAACATAATATAGACCTAAATATTGACAAATACAAAATGAGAAAAGGAAAAATGCATGTCATGTGCACAGCAGAACATAAGAGGATTCAAAATATATAGCAATAATTCCTTCATAATTTCTTACAGCACAATAATATTCCATCACATTCATATATTGTTATTTTAGATGGGAATTCAGAGGTCATCCAGACTACCTCCCTCATTTTACAAAGAAGGACCAAAGACAAGGGAGGTTAGGAGATCTGACCAGTGGTAGAGCCAGGGTTCAAGCCTAGGTCATAACTTCAGCTTCAACATTCTTTCTACTGTACCATGATGCTTCTTCACGAACTCAGAGTTACCTATGAGCGAAAGTGAGGCATTGGAGCAGGACTTCTGAAAGGTCTTACAATATTCAAAAAAAATTTCCATTTAGAAAAAACTGAGTTGGATGTGTATTTGAACATAATTCAGTTAGTAGAGGCTTAGTTATAAGTTCTGATAATTATCTAGCTTTTGTGCTACTAAAGAAATATATTCCCATATAATTCCCAATAAATGAATAGCTGTTATTTGCATAATTCATATTACAAACAGTTTGGTTCTTGTCTGTTCTCACTCAAGAGTTCTGTGTTTTTTTTTTCCTGTGTGTTTTTTTAACAGCATTTTAAGTGCAAATTGTCACTTGCTTTATCATCACCCAAACAGCAAATGGTTTCAGCTGTGCGGAAGGCAAACGTTGCAGTCTGTCAAATTCCAATCCAGCTCTCTGAAAATAAATCACAGCTGTGTGCCACATGGGCCGCTGAACACAAGGAGATCAGAAAACAGATTTTCATGATATTTCAGCTACGACTCTATAACACAACTGTTTCAATGTTTATTTCTCCATGTTATACTCCAGTTTCAGTAGGAACAATGGATTTTTTGCATACTCCCTTCAAAATGTCAATTTCACTCAACTTTATACAATAGATGGATACCTAAAAACTCGAGTGTGAATAAAAAAAAGTATGATTGTACTATGTAATACTACATATTACTAAGTACTATGATTTTTTTATATATTGGGATATATGCTACAGAAACATAAGGTACTTTAGGAGAGGAACAGAATATTAATACCTGAAGAGATTGGGGAAAATCTTGTGTAGGAGGTACTACTTGACCTGAACCTTGAAGGGAGGGGGGATTCCAAGACAAGGTGGAGCATTTCAGCTGTGGAATGTGTAATGGTTGGAGGTGAGAGGTGGAATGTTGTGTATGGTGAAAAGCCAGTAGGCCAGTTTGCCTGGAATGTAGAGTGTATGAAGAGGAGT